TCCCCATGCGTGAGGTTGGCCAATATCATGGGAAAGCATCGCTCTGCTTCCCGATGCCATCCATCCCGGGATACTCTCCTGGCACAAACAGCTCCACGCCCGACCCACGCTGGGGTTCCTCCTGCCTTGCAGATCACCAACCTGAAGCAGCGCGGCATGCAGTTCATGGACGTGCCATCCAGCTACTACCAGGTGCTGCGGGAGAGGCTGAAAACTGCCAAAATCAAAGTGAAAGAGAACATTGACAAGCTGGCGGTGAGTCATGGAAAAGGTTTGCCCAGGGCTGGACCAGCTCCCCAAAGTGTTTCACTTGGGATGAGGGTGACGCGGAGGGAGCCACTTGCTCTGCTGTGGATCTTTGAGCTGTTGCCCTGTTTCTTTTCTCCAGGAACTGAAAATCCTGGTGGATTTTGATGAGAAAGGCTACTTGCTCCAGATCTTCACCAAACCAGTTCAAGACAGACCCACAGTCTTTCTGGAGGTGATCCAGCGGCACAACCACCAGGTTGGTCTGAGGATTTCATTATGATCTTGGCTTCAAGATCTCAGGGCCACCTCCCAGCCAGTTCTTGGTGCTGTTCTTCCCCAGTCGCTCTGAGCTGATGAACCCACTGCCCGTCCCCATGGTCTGTAACGTTGTCATCTCCACAGGGCTTCGGTGCTGGGAACTTCAAGTCTCTGTTTGAAGCAATAGAAATGGATCAAGATGCCAGAGGAAACCTGACCATCTTGGAGCCCAACGGGGAGACCAAGCGCATCTAGAGGACGGCAGAAACACCACGCTCATCCCTAACGAGCTGATTCACAAACGAACCAGGAAACAGCTGATGTTTTGGTAAATAGCCCAGACCCAAGTGTCATACACCCAGGGAAGTCACTGCCAAGTTGGAGATGTAAAAGGACTCAACACCAACCCCAGCCCAGCCCCGGCGCTGCCCTCCAGTGACTCCTCGTGAGAGGGAGCGTGGGAAACAGCAAACATGTTCTTAAGCAGTTTAATCTGATCCAAACCACCAAATTCTTAACAAAGGGCAGATTTAAGGCATGTGCCAAAGACACGCAGCTATGGAGGAAGAGAGAAGGAACAACTTGGAGTGCTTCCATTGAGTCTATCCAAAGTTTTCTGTTAATTTTAGCTACAGGGGAAGCTGGGAGAGGAAAGCACGGAGGCGTTTGCCTCTCCATACATCTCATTCTGTAAGATTTTATTTTAATTGCTTTTAGACTCAATCTTGAGTTTGAATTTGCTGCGATTAAACACATGATTTTAGAGTAGCTACAACATTCTGGAATGAGACTTAACAAATTTGTGCATTTCAGCCTTCCCAAGGCAACACGGTCGTGCTCTAATGCCTGTAAATTCCTGAATTGATGAAGGGTTGGGGTTTCTCCCGTGTTTCATGAAGCAATTGCTGGCATTGGCAGTGATTCCTTGGCTCAGATCCTGGCTGCATGTGCAAAGTCCCCTCTGGGCATCGCTCTGGGGTTGTCACTGTCCTTTGCAGGGGGACTTTCTCCTCCAACACAATAAAACCCTTTTCTGTCACAGCCTGAGTGTCTGGTAAGTTAATGTGTCAGGGCTGGAGCTCCTCTACACCATGTTCACTGTGGCTGCAGGTTGAACACTCTCTGAGGAGCCCGCAGACCTCAGTACAGGACTGCTGAAGAACATCTCGGGGTCTCCAGTCCCCACAGGTCTCCCCACTGTTGCACATCCACCTTCCAAAGCCTCGGTGCACCCACCACTGCTCCCCAAGATTGAAGCTGCTCAAACCCTCAGCAGCCAAAGCCCCTGCCAAGCCCTCGGCTCAGGATGGGCTCCTTGGACATGAGTCCTTCCACCAGCCCAACCTCTGCCCCATCCAGCCACCCTCCAGGCTGAGCCCTGCTGCCTTCTGCCTCACATCCCCATCCCTTCCACTGCTGTGGTCAGCTAAAGAACCCAAAAACTGAGCTGGGGTCACCTACAGCCCAGGTTCTCTCCTGTCTCTTTCATTTCCTCCTCCATCAGCCACTCCATCCATTTCTGCCCCAAGCATCTCTTTTTCTAAAGCTCAGAGACTCTGACCACCACCAAACTCACAGCAGCCGCCAGCGAGGGAGGGTGGGGGGCACACGGCCAGCTCTGGGTTGTGCTTTCAAACACATCAAACCTCAGCAATTCCCCCTCCTGTAAACCACAGGTCACAGAATTCATTTGAGATTTGAATAAACTGATTTAAAAGAAAGAAACCAAAGGGCCTCTGGTCCCAACCAGCAACACAACACTGACACTTCGCTTCGTAGGTTCGGGGCTTTCACCTCCATAAAGTTAAAGAAAAAAATAATTAAAAAAAAATAAACAAAAAAACGTGAACCCCAAAAAATCCCGAGGCTGCAGGAGCCGGGACCCCTCACCTACCCAGGCAGCACCACTGAGGTCAGAGGGGGTCGGGACACCCGTCACGGTGGCAGTGGGGTCAGCACCCGGTTGTCCTTCAACTCTTCAGCATTTTTAATACTATGAAAAATTTACATTTTTAAACTTTAAATCACCCATGTATTTCTTCCATGCAATATCACGATGCTGAAAGTCATTTCCTGCTCACCAGAATTCAAATTTTCAGTAAATTTTGATGAAAACCAGTTCTTTGGCCGTCTCTCTTTGTGGATCTGGTTCCTTGAGCTCTCACGGTTCCTACCACGGGTCTGAGAGCAAAAAGCTGCCCTGGCTATACATTAAGCACAACATTAATTTTTCTGTAAGAAAAGTCAGTATATTTATGGTTTGCTTTATAAAAGTTACTATAATACAATGGTACATAGTATTCAATTCACAAAAATATGAACAAATATATACAGCATGACACATCCACAACAAAAACACTTTCTTCAAAACAAGATACATACTGGTGACAGATTCTATATGCACAAAACATCCCTAAATTTATAAATTTGCTTAACGAAAGAAAAAGCAGAAATCCTAAATCTTCAAAGCAGAATTGTTGTTGTTTTTTTTTTTTTTAAGGAACTTAAAAAAAATAGGATTTTTTTTTTTTTTTCCATTTATTGCAAACCATTTTACCTGCCTCCTTTTAAAGGAGGCTCTTTATTTTCACACTGTGAATTAAAACAACCTGTTTATAGAACCAGAAAACTGCAAGGATTGGGAGCTGGGTGTTCTTCCGTTTTGCTTTTAAAACTGCCCATTGGTTTTAGAGTGTCCGTTACGATGTGTTTCTTTTCACTTGGACAAATACTACAAGTGGCAATTAAGGAGGAAACTCATAAAAACAAAACAAATATTAAATTGAAAAAAAAAAAATCCAGTTGCAAACTCGCTTAAATACATTTTAGGTTTGTCTATTAGACTGTACACATTTCCTCACTTGAAATAAATAGATTTTGCACATTAGTTTCAGACTGAGGGCGGGGGGGAAAGAAGAAGCTTCGACTTCGCAATTTTTTTTGTCTTCAGTTTCTTAATGCTTCTAATTCCATCTATTTATTTGACAAAAAACATATTTATACAGAATTTACATTATACAAAGCTTGACACAAGCTGTAAATGCCACCAGCTCCTTTGCTATACTTAGTCCTTCTTCCTCCCCATCTCCTCGACATGATTTAGAGCTGGAATCTGTTTAAAAAGAACCCCAAATTACAATAGTCACTTTTAATAAATTATTTACATGCTCTTGAAGTACAAAGAAATCAGCAAAAAAATTTCAACATGTTTCTACAAGAAACAGTGTTTGAAGAGAAGATTCTTGAGTTTGCCTATGTACAGAAGATGCATTTTTTTTTTTTTTATACTTCAAAATCCTTTTTTTTTTCCTTAAATTTTTATTTTATACAGAAATGCACTGAAATGATCCCTGAAAAAGGTCACAAAAAACCAGAACTGAAACTACTGTATACTTTGTTGGAGTTTAAAAATGTTTGTTGTTGGTGTTGGTTTGTTTTTTCTTGTAGAAATAAGCTGCTCTATACAATATAAATACCTGCAAGATGAGCCCCTTCCCCTCCCAGACCCCCGGGAGTCACAGAGCACTGACTGGGACCAACTGGAACTGCAGAGAGGGGGGAACTGAAGGGATAAATGAGGTGTTGGGCAGCGGCAGGCGGGGTTGGAGAGCACAGAGCACGATCCTAGAGACACCAACTGCGGAGACATCTGCCCCTGAACTGAGCCAGCTTCACCTCGGGAAACCAAAGATTGACAGTTTAGTTCCAAAACTTTTGCGCTATTCTCCTGGGTCCTTTCACTCAGCAAGAGAGTTTTGTAGGGAGCACAGTCAATGCCTCTCCAATTTTTGTCTTAGGTTTCAATTTAAATGAAAATAAACTGGGGACAGGCTTTGCAGTGAACATCCCCTCAGCAAATGTCCCCGTGACACGCGCTGGGTAAGGCTTCCCTTCAGTCCTTGTCACTATTTCCATGGGGTGCCAGGCGCCTGCGCTGACCGTGGGAGGAGAACGCTGGGTCTGATCCAGGCTGGTGTGTGAATCACTCACCTTCTGCCTTTCTCCTCTCACCTCACCCCTTTCTAACCACGAGCCAAAGTACCCGGGAGGGATTAGAAAGGCTCTTCCATGGGGCTGCCTTCCCAAGCCCTGGCCATGGCTGGAGGGCTCCCTTGCCCCATGAGACCCCGCTGGCTTGCAGGGACGGGGCAGCTACAGGCAACTGCAGCAGCTCATGGAAATCACTAAACCAGAGTTATCATCCTCACTGTAAAATGCTGCTTTGGGGCATGGGGCAGCTCCACAGTCTGGGACAGAATCTGCATGGGGAGGACTGTGCAAGTCGAGATTTATGGGGAAGAAAAAAGAAGCCTCAGTTTTGGCTTTGAGACCAGACTAATGTAATTTTTCATAAGTGCTGCGGGTCCAACATCTCTGTTTCCTCCTGAGGGGCTACTGGGAGCTCAGTCCTTCCAAAAACTCACATCATTTGTCTGGGATCATAAAGGGAGATGAGTTACAGTCAGTTCCAGAAGTACCCAAGTGATTCAGGTGCTCATGGTCTTTGTCACCCAAATCCCTTTGGTGCTCCTGAAAACGTGGTGAAGGAACTCAACCTGTAGGTCTTGTTTCAGAAGACCATGACCTGCCTCTCTACGTCTCCTCAACAAAGATTAAGGCAAACTGCAGGGGTTAATCCCAACCAGAGCACAGAGACACACTGGGAAATACAAATACTATGGGGCTGGGCCATTTAGGGTATCTCTGCCCCCACAAAACCACCATCAATGCACTGGTTTGAGGGACCAGAGGGGAAGAAGGCCAAGGACATCAGCAGAACTGCCACATGTGGGGGCTTCAGTTCTGAGACACAGGAAACTTCTGTGCATTTCCAAAGCTTTGAAAGTAAAAGGCCAAGCTGTAGAGATGCCAAGTGGAGCATCAACACAAGAAGATGAACCTTATTTAAAAAAAACAAAACAAAAATAAACTGAGCAGCTGGTTTAACTCCCAAACGCTCCTGCCATCGCTGCAGTTACAACCAACGTTCAATGACAGAAACTAATTGTGCTTCTCAGAAATTTAGGTTCTGGGTCACCATTACCCAATTGCTGGAGAGATTTACAAAGAGAGGGGGAAACAAGAAAACAAGACCTGCACAAAAACAGAGAGGAGACTACGGACTGTCCAATCTCAGGGACAATTTCCTCACCCTCAGACAGAAATCCAGGCGGTACTAAGGCAGCTCGTAGCTTGTCTGTGTGTTCCTGTTCTTTCAGAGCTTTTCTCTGAAGAAGAAATTCAGCTGCAGAGCT